TTTTTTAAAAAAAAAAAAAAAAAAAAAAAATCACTGAATGGACTGGCCTGTGGCTCACTTGGGAGAATGTGATGCTGATAACACCAAGTCAAGGGTTAAGCTCCCCTTACCAGTCATCTTTAAAAAAAGAAAAATCACTGGATGATTCTTTTCCGTTTAATGCTCATAACTGCCCTAATCTACAGATAAGAAAACGGGGGCTCAAAATGGTTAAATAATTTTTATTTTGCCTAAGGTCACACTGTCAGTAAACATGGAACCCATTTTTGTAACCAAAGCTGTTTGATCTCTTCAGTAACACTTCATCCTGCCCTAACTGTAAGCTTCTTGCATGCAGGGATCTTACACAATGGCGGGTTGTAAGATTAATATGAGGGTACTTCAAAAAGTTCATGGAAAAATAGAATTAAAAGATAATATAGGGCTGGCTGGTTAGCTCAGTGGGTTAGAACACGGTATTATAACACTAATGTCAAGGGTTTGGATCCCCCTATGGCCAGCCACACGTAAAAAAAAAAAAAATTTTTTTTTTTTAAACAGACAATACAAATCTTTCCATGAACTTTTTGAAGATCCTCTCATATGTAAAGCACTTGGAATAGGGCCTGGCCCTCAGTAGACACTTAATAAAGATAAGTTGCTATTGCTGTTGATGATGTGATTATTATTATTACCATCACTGCTACTGCTGCTTCTACTGTACTTTGTCTCTTCCATTCTTCAAGGCAGGGGACCGGGTGATGGTATTGAACCGATCGGGGATGTGGCAGGAGGAGGTGACTGTGCCCTCAGCCCACACATTCCTGATGCCTGAGGCCATGACATTTGAAGAAGCTGCTGCCTTGCTGGTCAATTACATCACAGCCTACATGGTCCTCTTTGACTTTGGCAACCTACGGCCTGGCCACAGCGTTTTGGTACACATGGCTGCAGGTGACAGGTCCCCTCCCCTTATACCCCCTCCTTACCCGACCCAGATTTCCTTCCAGGCCCCTCTCTGCAGCCTGTCTGGATTGTTGATCATGGCAACAACAGGCAGGCTGCCTTGGCCTGTGGTGCCCAGAGGCTTCTGCACTGTAGTTGCCATGGTAACATTAAGGCACCAGGTCCAGACTGGTGTGCTATCCTTAGCAGTGTGTCTTCCCCTCCCCCTAGTTCTCAATCATGAAGATTGGACATGGGTCCCCATATGACCCTAAGGCAAATGAAGGTGACAGGCTGGGTCCTTGGGAAGCTAGAATGGAGAGTTGTGGCTGGGTAACCCCATAGCTCCTACACATGGGTGTCTTGCTGCAGGGGGTGTGGGGATGGCAGCCGTGCAGCTGTGCCGTACAGTGGAGAATGTGACAGTGTTCGGAACAGCCTCAGCCAGCAAGCATGAGACACTGAGGGAGAATGGGGTCACGCACCCCATTGACTACCACACAACTGACTACGTGGATGAGATCAAGAAGATCTCTCCCAAAGGTGCGGGGCAGAGTATGGGAGGAGGTAGGGTGGCACAGGACAGGGAGGGGTCTCCTGATCTGTGGATCTTAATGCTGTTCCTGGGTTCCCCTGCTGTTACAGGAGTGGACATCGTCATGGACCCCCTGGGCGGGTCAGATACTGCCAAGGGCTATAACCTCCTCAAACCCATGGGCAAAGTCATCACCTATGGTGAGTTAGTGGGGATGGAGAGAGAATGTTAGGGGCAGGGGAGTCTAAGGGGTGGGATATAGGGGCCCATGGCTTTTGAACGAAGAAAAGTCGGGGACTTGGGTGCTCTGTATACAGCATCAAGGTTAGGAACAGTCTGGTATATTAGTGCTCTGAATACAGGTGCTCTGTAGAGAGCATCAGGGTTAGGAAAGTTCCTGTATGTTAGTGCTGTGTGTACAGGTGCTCTGAATATAGGTGCTCTGTAGAGAGCATCAGGATTAGAAAAGATCCTGTTTGTCACTACATAGCATTCAGATTGCTGCCTGCTGCGTGCCAGCTACTTTCATGGTTTGTCACAACTTTTTTTTTTCCTTTTTTTGTCTTTTTTCGTGTCCGGCAACGGACCGCAACCCTCAGTNCCTGTGTGCCAGCTACTTTCATGGTTTGTCACAACTTTTTTTTTTCCTTTTTTTTGTCTTTTTTCGTGTCCGGCAACGGACCGCAACCCTCAGTGTCGCGCCCGTACCGCACCGGTAGCAGTGCGCCACCGGGCCGGCCCTTGTCACAACTTTTCATTTGAGTCATACTAAGTTCAGTATTCTGTCTGTGCTCCTGTTTGGGGATTATTCCTGATCAACCAGTCTGCTTTCCTTCTGTCCTTCCTCCCTGGGCTTCTTGGGCAAGAAGCATTTTCATTTAAAAAAGTATTTCACAGAAAAAATAAACAAAAAAAGATTAGAGCACTTTTTGAATCAGCTGGAGTTGGTCTGGGCCTGGTAACCAGCATGTTGGGGATTATCCTGACTGTCGCTCCCTGGCAATGATGCAGATAATTGCAAGGGACCACGGGGAGCAGACAAGCATGGATTCAGACATACAAGGATGTGCCGGGCACCTGGATTCACAGGCTGTCAGCACCACGCTCATCCAGTGAGCAAACCGGCCATCCCTATATGGGATCCGAACCCGTGGCCTTGGTGTTATCTGCACCGCACTCTACCCAGTGAGCCACAGGCCGACCCTGGATTCACAGGCTGTCACTTGTCCCTCAGGAATGGCCAACCTGCTGACAGGCCCTAAGCGGAATCTGATGGCCCTGGCTCGTACATGGTGGAACCAGTTCAGTGTGACAGCTCTGCAGCTGCTGCAGGCCAACCGGGCTGTGTGTGGCTTCCACCTGGGCTGTCTGGATGGTGAGGTGGAGCTGATCAGTAGTGTGGTTGCCCGCCTCCTGGCTCTGTACAACCAGGGCCACATCAAACCCCACATTGACTCGGTCTGGCCCTTTGAGAAGGTGAGTGCGGTGACTTTGCAGGGAGAGCCTGGGTAGAGTTCATGAAGGCCGGGGTTCCCAGGGGAAGATTCCTGGGGATGAGGAGGGCTGCCTCCTTTCTACTGGCTCTTATTGGATGGGGGCCGGATAGCATTGGGTGCAGAGTCTTCTCTTTCTCTCTAGGTGGCTGATGCCATGAAGCAGATGCAGGAGAAGAAGAATGTGGGCAAGGTCCTCCTGGTTCCTGGGCCAGACAAGAACTAGGGTGTGGGGCTGTGGGACCTTGAGACCTGGGAAGAGAGAGGTTGGGAAGCCCTGTTCTGCTGACCATCAGACTCCGATTTCAGCCTCTGTCATGATGCTCTGCCCTCCCTCCCCTGAAGGTCTCTGTGGTGATGACTGCTCCCTGTCCCATTCTTTCTCTTTGGTCAGGGCTGCCCCCTCCCACTTCCTGCTCTTAGAAGAGGTTGGGAAGTGACCACTTGGATGTCTGGGCCTTGCCAAGGGGACAGGGAGGGTCAGAGGCAGGCCGCCTGCTTCCTGCCCCCACCCTTTCCCTGGGCCTGCTGTGCTGCTTTTGTGCCAAGGTTAGCCAGTCCCTCCCCATCCTGCTCTGTGTACTTCCGTCTCAGCCTTGTCTTCCCTCCCGCCCCTGTTCTAACACCTCCCCAAAGAATTGAAATGTCAGCTCAGGAAATGGGGCCAATCTGTGTGAATTGAGCATGTACCTGTCTCTCCCTAGTGTCCCTTCAGCCCGGGCTGACCAGCACCCACCTCTGGGCTTGACTAGTCCCCAATCTTGTTCTGTCTCCAGCTTCTTAAGCACAATTGGGCTTCTTCCACCTGCTTTTCTGCCATTAACCAAGGTTGCCTCTTACAAGGGCAGGAATCAGACCTACTCCCCTAGGTCATGGCTCTGGGAGGGATACAGAGCCACACACCTTCACCCCCTTCACTGAGTTCTCTGGATTTGTTCTCAGTGCCTTAGCAATGGAAAACCCATGCCGGTCGGGGGGGGAGGGGGTCTCTGTGTCCCACCTCCTTCTCCACCCCTGTACTCCCCAGTGCCTTCCTTGTTTTGGTGGACCTGGGGTTTTACTCTTCCCCAGTCCCACAACACTGCCAAAAATCTGTGTATATGCCAGTGAGGGTGGGGGCAGCCCCTAGCCCTGAGGTCAGGGCAAAAGCAGCTGCCCTCACTGTGGTCCATGCCATGTCCTGTCTCTGTCGGTGGTTGAGGAGAAAGAGGCGGAGAGCTTTCTCAGCCTCGCAGATAAGTGTGCCATTTACCAGCCGGAGCTCTGAGAGGCAGTTCTGCCTGTTTCTTGTTCTGGGACCAAAGTAAAAATCGATGCACATTCCCCTTGCAGTCAAGGGAGGCCCCACTGCCTTCTCAGAGCAAGGGAGGCAGCTTTTCAAACTCATCCCCAAACTTTGTTTACATGGGTGGGGAGATGGAGCAGGGGAATAAAGAGGGGGGTAGGTAGTTCCTGGGCTGCTGGAACCAAAGTGGGGACTTCCTGGAGTGGGGATGTAACCCCTTCTGCCTGCTGAGCTGGGATTAGGGAGGGTTACTGCCACAGCCATTGCCAGTGGGAGGTGGGGGAACAGGCTCAGCCTCTTCATTGTCTAAATGAGGCCTAAACATGTGAAGTGCGATTTCTGCTTTTGTGTACCCCCCACCCCATTACCACAGCTGCCTTTGTGTTTGTGTCAATAAAAAGCCAAACCCTGGATCCTGCCTCTGAGAGTGGAGGGGAAGGTGAGCTCGTGGAAGGCCAGGGTTTCTTCCCTCCCCCACAGCCTCCTTCCATGCAGAAATCAAGTTTTCTTTCATGAATGAAATAAGGAAGGACATCATGTCATACAGGCACTTTTACTGTTCTTGGGCAGCATTTTGAAGCCTGGAATCCCTGCCCCCTGTTGGTGGGCATAAAGATCCCTTACACTCGTGCACCAACTCCAGCCCAACTTGAGAACCCTGGCAGACAGGTGGGGTGATGAGAAGGGTGGTCCCCTAGCCTGACTCGGAGGTGAAGACTGCCAGGCCCTGCTGTCCTGGGGGCACAACAGTCAGGGCAGCCACCTCCCCACCCCCACGGGTGGGCTTCTGGAAGTGGATCTCCAAGATGTCATGCAGCTCTGGGCCATCCAGGACATCAGGAATGTTGAGCACCAGCACTGAGCTGGGCACTAGCTGGAAGCTGATCTAGAGAAGGAGCCAAGAGATGGCAAAGGCTCATTGGAGTAAAGGGCTGGGGGTGGGGGGTGGGGTGCAGACAGTGCCCCATGGGAGTATGGGAGGGGTGAGGGGGCCTGGAGAGGCTGGGGTGGGTAGGTCAGTGGGGTTTGGCAGCTCTGATCCTTGGGCAAGTTTCTGGCAGACAGAAGGGTTACCTGGATTGGCCCCCATTCTCCATCTTCCCACTTACCTCAGCCTTCTGGATATCCCCACTCATGTAGGGAGAGACTCTCAGAGGGACTTGCTGCCCACCCAGTGGCACTCTGAACTCACCAATCTGGCACAGGTTCTGGGCCACTGTGGGGAACAGGGAGGGGTGGACCTTTAGCATCAAGCCCTGTCCTTTCCTGTGGCCTCATGCACCTCATACCCTAATCTCCCTTGCAGGAGGCCCCACAGGGCCATCACCTTTGTCTGTAGCAAAGCCCAGCATGACACTCCCTTGCAGCAGTTCCCGAATCTCCACATCACCACCCCCGTTCTTAGCCTTGCCAAAGAAGATCTCCAGCTTGTCGAGCAGCTCCTCCTCACTCAGCCTGAGTCCAGCTGGAAAACCACTGACCAACACCCTGTGGCCACTCATCTGGCTGGCCACCTAGGGGGAGACAGGAGGGAGTGGTCTCAGGCGCAGCCCCACTTCCCCATGCCCAGGTGTATGTACCCTTTGCATGTCCCAGCACACTGCCATTCTGTCACCTGGATGGTGGTCACCATGGGTAGCTCCAAGGGCTGGACCTGCACCCGCAGCCGGCACTCTTCCATGTCAATCTTATGCTCCTTTTGCTGCAGCACCTGCTCAGCCACTGGGTGGTGGGATGACAGGCTCAGTACTGTGAAGCCTCCCAGCCTTTCTCCTCAGACTCCCACAGGAACTTACCTTTGGGGTCATCAAAGGTAATCAGAGCAGAGCCTCCAGGCAGAGGGCAGCAGATCCGCAGGTTGGAAACCAAAGACTTGGGCACTTCCCTGCCCTGCTGAGTGTGTCCTCGGAATACCAAGGGGACCTCAGGCCCTGAGAATGAAACCTGGAGGTGGGGAAGGGGAGGCAGATACAGCACTCAAGAGTAGGGGAGTTCCCCGCTCCCTCCCAGGAGCACCCCCAATTCCATTCGGTTGATGCTAAGTGCCAGGACTGAATACATTTACTGAGAGAAGAGCTAGGTTACTCAGTGGATGAAGTCAGCTCAGGCCCATAGTGGGCACTTTACATACAAGACCTTAGTTTGTCCTCACACGAGCCTGGGAGGTAGGTATCTCTAAAGAGTATCTCTAAAGACGAGAAAACCAAGATCCGGAGAGTTCAAGTACCATATTCAAGGTCACACAGCAAGGAAGTGACAGGGCCAGGAGTACAACTAAGAACTCTCCAGCTCTTTTCTATGAAACCATATCCTGTCTCCCACCTTACCTTGTCTTTGGGGGAGTCCCTGAGCATCTTTTTCAGCTCCTGCAGCTCCTGCAGTCTCATCCTTAGTTTGGCCTGCTCCTCCTGAAGGGCGCGGAGGGCCTATTAGTGCAGAAGGGAACAACCAGATTTCTACCTGCCTTTCCAGAGGATAAATGAGCCCAGGAGAAGATGCGCCTATTCTGGATTCTCTAAGAAGAGTTGATGCTCAGCCCAAGAACAACCCAACCCCTCTACACTGCCCTGGGCTGGTCCTGGCCCACTCCACCCACAGCTGGGCTGGCCTCATTTCAGCTGCTCTGGGAAGGGCAGGAGGCTTTGTAGCAGCCATGGCTGGTCTGTTCCTGCAAATCTAGAGCTTAATCGGCACTGATTGAGCTCCTGCTATGAGGTGCTGGGCACTGACACAGGGCAGTGGAAGATAAGGGACCAGTCCCCAGGCCTATACAAAACAATACCCAAGACAGTATGTGGTCACATGACTGATCATGAAATGCATCGGGTGTTGGTGTTTGGAGGAGGGATAGTCCCACAGGGGTTAACACAACTAGGGAGGCCTCCAGGAAGAATGGGGGCTTAGAGTTGCAAAATGGCATAATATTATTAGCTAACACTTACTAAGTACTTACTATATGCCAGGCACTGTGCTAGGCCCTTTGTATGGATTACATCAATTCTCACAACAGCCCTATAAGATAGAAACCCTCTTATCCTTAGTTTACAGATGAAGAAACTAAAGTTTAGAGAGATTAACTGACTTGCCCAAAGTCATTTGGCCCTGGTACGTCTGACTCCAGTCCCCACCCTGCTAACCTGTGCTTTACAGGGAAGAAATCAAGCCCAGAGTGGGGAAGTAACTTAGCCATCTCCTAGCTTTCCTTTCACTGCCACACTTTCCACTGTACCAAGCAGCCTGTCAGGCTGGGTGTGACTTGGAGTGGATCCAGGGAGAGCTGACAACATAGGCAGGGAAATGACAACAGGGATACAAATAAATGCACCTTTGTTTGTGGGAAGAAGCAGACAGCTCCATGGCAGAATTCATCCTGTGGTTAGGAAACCTGATAAATAAGGTCAGCTCAGAGAAATGTGAGCTCACTTGGGAAGACGGGACTCTGCTCTACTTGTCTCTGCATCCCCAGGGTCCAGCAGAGTCCCTGGCACAAAACAGGTGTGTTGAATGAATGAATGAATGGCAAGATGGGAGCGTGTTCTAGACGGCATTGAAGAAATTCAGTGTGAGTTTGTTTTATTTTAAGCAGAGAAAAACTCGAGCTTCACCAACTTATGCTGGTTTATGAATAGTGAAAAAGGTCCCTAGTTGTTTATATTTCTGTAAATTGGAGGTTGCAAACTCAGTGCCTTTAAGGGCCAGTTAGATGACATCAGTGAGTCAAAGGAGCCATATAATAAAATAGGGAGTTGTGGGGACTCTGACAAACTGGAGAGAGTAAGTCCTTGCTCAAGTGAGCAACTTCTTCTCAGCTCTAACCCAGTTTTTCCCCATGGGAATTTGTTCCAATTTTATACCTTTTTAATTGGTATTTTATAAAACACCAATTTTATACCTTCCCAATTTTAAGGGAAATCAGAAATCTGGATTTTTATTTGAAAAAGACACCTCTATTTATAAAATATATGTATGATGCTGATAACACCGAGATCCAGGATTCAATCCCTGTACCTGCCAGTCTCCAAAAACACACACACAAAAAAACAAATTTAAAAATATGAAAAATTAAATACATTAGGGGGCTGGATTCAGTCCTCAGTCTGTATCTATACTCACAGTACTTCTGCTTTAAATCTTGACCTCATTGCACATAGTTTTTGAAAGTCTAGTAATGGGCGATGGTACTTAATATTTATAATCGATAGCTTAATAACTTCTTTTTTTTGGGTGGCTGGTCGGTATAAGGATAGAACCCTTGGCCTTCGTGCTATTAGCACCATGCTCTAACCAACTGAGCTAATTGGCCAGGCCTTCAACAGAATTTCTTTTTTTTTTAATTATTTTTTTTTCCTTTTTTTTTTTGTCTTTTTTCGTGTCCGGCAATGGACCGCAACCCTCAGTGTCGCACCCGCACCGGACCGGGACCGGCAACGGGATCGCAACCCTCGGTGCTGCGCCTGCCCCTCGCTCAGCCAGTGAGCGGGAACCGGTCTGTATGTGGGATCCGAACCCTCGGCGGGAGCGCCACCGCGCTCCCAAGAGGCGCACTGTAGCAGTGCGCCACCGGGCTGGCCCTTCAACAGAATTTCTTAATCAACAGTTCAAGCCTGGGAGTTCAGATGGGGAACTAGTGAAGATACCCGACAGGGAGAAGGAGGTGACAGAAGCGGTGTTTAAAACAGATCAGTCTGGAAGTGAAGGCAGGACTGGAACAGGAACCTTGGAGTGAGGAAAACAAATCCAGACTCTGTGGCTCTAGTTCTGACTGAGGAGGGCTGGCCGTTTAGTTCACTTGGGAGAGTGTGGTACTAACACCAAAGTCCAGGGTTCGGATCCCCGTACTGGCCAGCTGCCAAAAATAAATAAATAAAGAAGAAGAATTCTGAACAATGAGACAGGAGCTAACCCTGGCTTCCAGCAGTGACCACAGAAGCAACATGTGCAGATGAGTGCATTTCACGAGGAGAAGCCTCAAGACTCTCATGGAGTTTTGCATTAAGGAGATAGAGGGGGACAAGACGGACACAACACCAAGGTTTCAGACCTCGGTGTCCCAGAGTTTTGTATGAGGGCACTTCAAAAAGTTCACGGGGGCTGGCCGGTTATCTTAGTTACCTTATCTTAGTTATCTTGGTAGAGCGTGGTGTTATAACACAAAGGTCAAGGTTCAGATCCCCGTACTGGCCAACGGCAAAAAAAAAAAAAAGTTCATGGAAAGATCCATATTATCTTTCAAATCTATTTTTCCACGAACTTTTTGAAGAACCCTTGTATAATGCCACTGACCCAGCAAGTAAGGGAAGCGTGCCAGTGGTTACTGAGGGCCTGCTATGTGCCAGGCACAGTCAGACTCCATCTCACTCAAATATCACAAAACCACCTCCTATCCCCAGCTCCCCACTGAAACGTCTCTCTC